CTGTGGCTGGCTTACTCATTGCCTTCAAGGTATCTTAACAATTTTGTTCATTAAGGTATAATTGACATATTACATGACTTTCTGGTGTACAATATAACGATTGGATATTCACACAGTCTGAAATGATCACTATCATAAGTCTAGTTACCGTCTGTCACCATATAGAAAATTGTAGCATTTGGGGCGCCTGGGTGGCGCAGTCGGTTAAGCGTCCGACTTCAGCCAGGTCACGATCTCGCGGTCCGTGAGTTCGAGCCCCGCGTCGGGCTCTGGGCTGATGGCTCAGAGCCTGGAGCCTGTTTCGGATTCTGTGTCTCCCTCTCTCTCTGCCCTCCCCCGTTCATGCTCTGTCTCTCTCTGTCCCAAAAAAATAAATAAACGTTAAAAAAAAAAAAAAGAAAATTGTAGGACTTACTCTTCTGGCAACTTTCAAGTATGCTCTACCAATACTTGACTATAGTCCCCGTGCTGTACTCACTTATTTTATAACCATTAAGTTTGTGTCTCTTCACCTGCTTCACTCATTTCATCCACTCCTCCCCTCTGGCAGCAATCATTCTGTTCTCTGTATTTATTTCTTTTGTTTTTCAGATTACACATATAAGTGAAATCCACATATTTGTCTTTATGTGTCTGGCTTGTGTCACTTAGCATAATGTTCTTTGGGTCCATCCATGTCATTGCAAATAAAGGATTTCCTTCTTTTTTATGGCCGAATATTCCATTTCGTGTGTGTGTGTGTGTATGTGTGTGTGTGTGTGTATTACAGATTTTTATCCATTCATCTGTTGATGGACACTTAGGTTGTTTTCATGCCTAGGCTGTTATAAATCATGCTTTAGTGAATAATGCAATGCTAAGATTTGTTTTTTGAGCTAGTGATTATATTTCCTTTGGACAAATATCCAGAAGTGGAATTTCTAGATTACATAGTAATTTTTTAAAAACAATTTTGAGGAACATCTATACTGTTTTCCATGGTGGAGAGGATAAATTAATGTAGCTAATTACCACCAACAGTGCACGAGCGTTCTCCTTTCTCCACCTCCTCACCAGTACTTGTTATTTCCTGTGTTTTTTTTTTTTTAAATAATTGCCATTCTGACAGGTGTGAGGAGATACCTCATACTGGTTTTGATTTGATTCTCTGGTGATGAGTGATGTTGAGCATCTTTCCATGTGTCTGTTGGACATCTGGATGTCTTCTTTGGGAAAATGTCTACCCAGATTCTCTGCCCATTTTTAAATTGGATTTTCTTTTGACATTGAGTTTTATGAGTTCTTTATATATTTTGCATGTTAACCCCTTGTTGCCCATATTATTTGCAGATATTTTCTTCCATTCGGTAGGTTGTCTTTTCACTTTGTTGATGGTTTCCTATGCTGTGCGGAAGCTTTTTAGTTCGATGGAGTCCCATTTGTTTATGTTTGCTTTTGTTGCCTTTGCTTTTGGAGTCAGATCCCAAAATGTATCACCAAGACCTATGTCAAGGAGCTTATTATTTTTTTTCTAGGAGTTTTATGGTTTCTGGTATGGTTTCTTACATTCAAGTCTGAATCCATTTTGAGTTAATTTTGTATATGGTGTAAGATAAGGGATCCAGTTTTATTTTATTTTATTTTTTTGCGTGTGGCTATCCAGTTTTCCCAACTCCATTCATTGAAGAGACCATCCTTTTCCCATTGTATGTTCTTAACTCTTAATGATATGGTTTAATGACCAGAAGTTTCACATTTGGATGAAATCTAATTTATCAGGTTTTTAAAATTTTGTCTTTTTTTTTTTTTTTTTTTTTTTTTTTTTTTTTTTTTTTTTTTTTTTTGGTCTTAAAACCTTTTTCTACCCCAGGTTATAGAGGTATGCTTTCTTTCTTCAAGTTGTATTATGGTTTTAACTTTTATATTTAGGTCTGTTATCCAACCCTAATTAATTTTTGTGTGAAGTATAAGGTAAGGGATGAGGTTCATTCTGTTTTTCCATATTGATAAGAAGTTATTTGCACCATTTGTGAAAAGATTTTCTCATTAAATTATCTTGATGTCTTTGTCAGAGGTCAACTTCCAGGAAGAGTATTGGTCTATTTTTGGACCCATCTGTTCTGTTCTGTGTCTTCATTGCTGTACATCTATAGTAAGTCTAGAAGTCAACTTTTTTTTTCTTCTTAAGATTGTGTGGCTATTTTAGGTCCTTAGTATTTCCATGTGAATTTTAGAAGCAGCTTGTTAATTTTTATTTTTTATTTTTCTATGTTTAATATTTATAAATAATTAATTAAAATGTCTCCTGGGTTTATGATTAGGATTGCATTGAACCTGTAGATCATTTGGGTGAATGGATGTCTCAATAATTATTGAGTCTTGCAATCCACGTACATGGTACACATCTTTTGTCTCCTCTGCTGTAGGCTTGACTCTTTAGATAGAGTATTATTGTTGATATAGTGCATCTAAGGTGCTTAGCACATTTAGCCTGGGATATATAATAATCTACCCTTTAATGTTAATATATATTATTAGTTATATTAGTGTTCACAAAGCCTTATAAAGTACCTTCTGTGTGTGTTCTTATTTTACTCAGCTTAGAGCTTGACCATGGTTACACAGCTAATAAATGGCTGGGCAGGGTTTGGAATGAGGCCTTTATGACTCTAAAAGCCATGCCTGTAACTGAATGTCACTGGAAGCCAAGGGCAGTGAGCCTCGAATGTAATTTGTCTGCATTTTGGGGATGATCTTATGTTTTGGTAGGTTAAAGTTGGAATTTCCAACAACAGAATTTATTCTGAATGATTTAAGCAACACAGGAACTCGTTAAGGGTACATTATCTCACAGAGAAGGAACCCCGGCCACTTATGGCCTTGTTATAGGAAGGTTGGGGAGGGGAGGAGATACGTGAGCATTGGACTCCCAGCTGGAGGGATTACCACAAATTTGGAGGAGGAGCCATAAGTGATTCCCCAGCATATGTTGTCTGCTAATTTATAGGTTTTCCTCTACTGGCAGTAATACGAAAGCAAGATTTCGTGAGAATTTAAATCTGTATTGTAAATTCTCAGCTAGTGTTTAAGCAAATAGGTGATTATGTTTCCCCCTTTTGTATATGTGTTAATCTGTTATAAGAAAGACTCTAGACACATAACAGTGTTTGAGTCGTGTCTCTGCACTTATGACTGGCATGACCTTGCCCGAGGTACTGTTAACCTGTGTGTAGTTCTCTCACCTGTGAATTCAGAACATACAATGCCTCATTCATAGTAGTATCTTAAGATGTCTTGAGCTACCGTGCATAAAGCGCTTAACATAATGCTTGATGTGCAGTAAGAACTCAAAAATATTACCTATTTTATAGATACACGTTTTCGCATACGTTCTGTGTGCGGATTGTTTAACTGTGGGGAGGGCCTAACCTTTTTCTCCTATAGATACAGGCACTTACAGAGTGCGTAGAAAGAGCCCTGACCTTTCAAGATACGGCAAATGTTAAAGTTGTTCTAAAGTGGGAGAATATTTGGTAATAAAATGCCAGCAGCCCTTGCTTCCACAGAGGTTTCATGCTTATTAGCTTAGACAATTGCCACTGAGCTGTTATGGGCTGCTGTACTTCGGAGTCCATTTTCTGCAGTGTCCTGAGGACAAGCCACATGGAAAATGAACTCGCGGTTTTCTGTATGGCGTCGTCTGGCTGCCAGGACACATGCCAGCCGGTCGGAGGTCTCTCTTGATTTTGCACATGGCTGTGCAGTAATACAGAGCAGAGCAGAGCCGCATCTGGTCCATTCCGAATGTCATTACCGCGTCTCCTCTGAGGCCCCGCTTCTCGCAGCTCTCCCCCCTGCTTGCATGGAGCCCTGCCGAGGTGACAGCAGAGCGTTGCCTGGGAAGGGTCAGGGTCCTGTGGCATGCACTCCTGCACCTGGGGAGAAGGGGGGGGACAATGCACAGTTCTTGCTAGTCGCTCAGTGGAGGAGGGGACTGGGGGGGGGCTGTGGGCTGCCTCTGTCCTTGCTGCAGAAGGGCTCCCGGCGCCCTGCTGCAGGACTGGGAGCTCTGCTCCGAGGGGATGTGTTGCCTGGAACGCATCACTGTGTCGCCCAGGGGGCCGCTGGCGAAGCAGCGCTCAAGCTCCACTCGGTGACCACATGGTCCAGGATGTCTAGGGCAGCGCTTGGGCTCCGCAGACAGCTTCCGTGGGCTTCCTTCTGTCCCCCGCAGTCACCCACCTTGGGCCAAAGAGCGTCTGCTCCCCTCTGTTCTTCCGTCTGCTCTGCCCCAGGACTCACCTCTTACCCCGTGCAGGTGTCTCAGAAAGCTTGTGGCCTGCGAAGGAGCGGCATGTTCGGCAGTCACTTTCCGGGTGCGGGCAGTGACATGCCGAGCTGCTTGTCACGGGGCACCCAGTGGTACAGGGAGTCCCGAGCACAGAGCACAGGGCCTGGGAGAGTGGGACATGGCAGCGGGGTCGTGCGGGGCTCTTGACTGTGACCAGGCTGCTCTTAGCGCCTCGCTGGTCACAGGGGCTGGGGGTCTGCCCTCCGGCTGCTGTGTGTGCAAGGATGCTCACCCACCAGGAAGCGTGTGCGCGCGCGGCTCTGAATCTCGTCCGTGCGCCCCAGCTCTCAAAACTCCTCAGTCCGGCCCGTTGCCCTCCTTGACCCCCCACATTCAGTGTCCTTTCTGGACCACTTTGGCATCTGCTATCCTAAGCTGCACAGTTCTCCTTTACCGTTTTTAGCACCGTAGGTATAATCAAATCAGAAGGACCCCTGCCTCCTTAGCAATCTCCCTCTTGGTGACAGGTGGACATCCAGGTGCACCCCAGGTGTCTCCCTGACTCACCTTTCAGATCATGTCTCCAGCGTACGGGCCACTGGCCTCAGGCCACATGTCCGAACCTGGGCCTCAGCCCCATGAGGCCTTCTTTATGAAGCAGCCCTCCTGAAGAGTCCTGACTTGTCCTGCATGGGCATGTCGTAATTGTCAAACTCTTAAATCTTTTCAGGGTACATTGAAGATGGATATGTGAAGATTGTTGTTATAAGTTTTAAAAATAACACAGAACACCTACCTCTTATTGGGAAAGTTGGCCTCTCTTGGAGAACTGATATTTTTGATGGCTGTATAAAGGTAATTTGTTGTTTAATTTTCTTAACGTAACCTGGTTTCTGTGTGATAAAAGAAGTCTGTTGATGTATATCTGTGATCCTGCTTTTAAAGTCCTAGTTTGACTGTTCTAATGTCTGAAGATATGTGCACTTTCTCTTGGGCACAGACAGTCGATGCATTCAACAGGTGCCTGTTGCGTGCCTTCTGTTTTTCGTTGAGTGTGTGGGGGGGGGCAAGCTTGCAGCACATTCTTGTACCCTTGCCCCCCTGAAGCCCCTCTGTCTGTCTGTCTTGTGGAAAAAGAGTGGTGCTCTCGGTCGGACCAGGCAAGTAGCATTTATTCAACATCTTAAATGCTCATACACCACGTTAAAAGTCAGGATACAGATACTTCCGTGAATACCCTTCCTTGAACAGTGACATCAGTTGGTGTCTCATCAGAAGTTAGCCACATGGACGGGAGAGTTTATTTAGTGGTTGGGGGTTGGCAGGGATGGAGGGAGTTGGCAGGAGGAGGAGGAGGTGGAGGAGGGTGAGAGCCCTTGTAACTTCGTTTTGTTCTCTTCTGTGATCTTGTGCCCATGGCCGCCCCTGGTTCTCCCTGTTCGCCATCGTTATTTTGTGGGATGAATAGCATTCTCATATTCCAGGTGAGCCAGTGGGATCTGTCTCCAGTAACATGGCTTTTTTTCTGCCATACAAGTTAGAACAATTACTGATGATGACTGAGACCAAGCATTCAAAGCAGTTAATTATCAGGTGTGCCTGGTGGCTCAGTGGGTTAAGCTTCTGACTTCGGCTCAGGTCATGGTCTCCCAGTGGTGAGTTCGAGCCCCGTGTCGGGCTCTGTGCTGACCGCTCAGAGCCTGGAACCTGCTTCGGATACTGTGTCTCCCTCTCTCTCTGCCCCTCCCCCGTTCGCACTCTGTCTCTTTCTTTGTCTCTCTCTCTCTCACTCTCTCTCTATGTATATTTATTTATTTTGAGAGAGAAAGAGAGCATGAGCATGGGAGAGGCAGAGAGAGAGAGGGAGAAAGAGAATCCCAACAGGCTCCGGCTGACAGCCCCATGTGGGGCTTGATCCCATGAACCCTGGGATCATGACCTGAGCTGAAATCAAGAGTCAGACGCTCAACCCACTGAGCCACCCAGGCGCCCCTCTTTTTCTTTATTAGAGTCAGATTATGATCTCAAATACATTTTAGAGACGCCTGCAGTGGCTGATGTCAGTCCTGAGTCCCCACACGACAGCTGCTCGGTAACTGGCCGCCATACTGCTTTACAGACCGTTCTGACAGCCAGGGTGGGAGCCCTGCTTCAGTCTTCGGTCTGATTCAGTGACGCTCGGAACGAAACCTGTCCCGCTCTGCCTTCTGTCCGTTCCTCTCAGACGTGCCGGCTGATGGGGTGTCCTTTGCTAAGGCTTTTCTTCTGTCTGTTCCTTTACTTTAGCCTTTCATTGCCTTGGCGTTTTTAATGTTTATCTGAACCTCGCTTCTAAATCCATTTTAATTCAAGCTAGAGATTTGAGTATAACCGTGGTTGACGGGTGCGTCACAGGCTCATGTGTGGTGATGGCTGTGCCCCCCGCCCTGTCCCCCACAAGATGCGTTGGCCAGTTTGCAGACCATGCTGCAGCGGCCTGGGTGATTGAGGGGGTCGGGCACCTTGGGAGAACCCGATACCCCGCATCTGACCTCAGCCTTTGACGCCGCAGAGTTCTTCGGCAAAGGGGGTACAGGTGGGGAGAATGGACTTGCCCTGCAGGGAAGGTGGGTTCTGTCTACTGCTCGGATGTGTACATTCGAGAAGTTCATGTTGAGAGAGACAGATTTGGGGAAGGGTAATTGGAAACAGTTCTCTTGAGGAGAAAGGCAGAAGGTAGGTAGAGGAAGATTTGAGGGAGGTTATAAAACACTTCCCCCCTTCTCTCCCC